GGGGGGGGGGGGGATGGGGGGTGGAGAAGCTCTCTTTGTTGGGGAGGGAGGTGGAAGGGGGGGTCTGTTTGATGTGAGGGAAATAAAGACTTGTTCTTCTGATGTGTCTGTAATGAGCATGGTGCAGGGGGTGGGAAGATGGGGTTGGGGGTACAGGTGAGCTAGCTATAGCAGGAAGTGCTGGAGGAGATGGTCAGCCACGGCTTCCTGTACCCAGTGCCCTGGCTACCACTGGTGGGTGCATGGCTGTCCTGGAGCCTGGACAAGGGGGCCTACTGGGGTCAGCTGGGCCAGCACCATGGCCAGCAGTAGTATGGGGTGCTGGCTGTCACTGTCAGGGGCAGGGGCTGGAGCAGCCATGGCAAGGGGAGGCAGAGTGGGCAAGGAGAGATCTGGTGTGTTCTGCCCCTGCACTGGGCATGCTGCTCCTGGGCAGGGACGTGGCTGACCAGAGAGCAGGGCTGGCTTTCAAAGATGGCTTCCAGGTGCTGGCAGCTGCAGCCAGAGTCTGGAACCTTCCTGCCCCCCACTGCAGGAAACTTGGTGCAAATCTTCTCCCTAACCCTCGCATGTGTAGACGTGTGCCCGAAAATACTTACACCAGAGTAGTTTGCACCAGAGTAAACTTAGGCCAGAGTAAATGCATGTGTAAATGTGCTCTATGAGAAGCAAGGGTTTTTATGAGTGATATATTTTATTGAACCAACTGCATGGTTGGGATAGACTTAGACAAGCTTTTGTATGCAATGCATTCTTCTTCAGGTCATTGGGAATAATAAATGTAAAGACTTTTAAGTAAATTGCTTATTTTGGCTCTCTTATATAATGGTAACCTTTCCATAATGTACCCATCTGCTGTTTGAAGATGGATCAGTATAAGGGCTGAGTTCAGGATCAGCATAAGCAAGGGCTGCTGTCATTGACTTTGGTAATTTAGTTCTGCAAAGATACGAGAGCAAAAGTTTATAGAGCACATTCCACTGTTTTAAGTGAGTTTGGTATTATGAGAGATGTTACTGAGTTGATGACCCTGACAGCTGATGAGATACAGCATGAGTAACAGAAGCACACCTTTTGTTGCACCTCTTCTCTTCTTTGGAAGGACCACCTTTGTGTTTAGAAAGGAAGTCAGTTTTCTTATCTGTTCAGTCCTTTGCATTGCTACTGAGTATGCTAACAAGTATTCCATCTATTGTCAATTGTAGTGGTAGCTTTGTAGTCACTTGTCCAGTATAAACTGGAGAGATAACTTTTAAAACCAAAGGCAAAAGCATTATGAATTCATTTTGTAACTTGCTTATTATTTAGGGCTGGACACAATGCCCACTGACTTCAGTAGGACTCTTGACATGCTTAGAGTTACACACATCTCCTTAGTACTTTGTGAACTGTAAGACAAACTGGGAGAGATTTAGCTTTCTGATATACCAATTGAACCCCACTGTATTAAATGAAGATCCCCTTGAATCAAAAAGGGTAGAATAAATATAAATGAAAATAGAATTAACTTCCTAGGTTTTCAGTTTGCAAACAGTATAAAAAACTTTTTTTTAACACTTCAGCATGAAGCAGAAATTATGCATGGAAAATGTTATCTGTAATCATTAAAGTTTGTCAAAGCTATACAAAGTGTTGGGCAACCTGAACTATAGGCACTGTATATAATCTACTTTGTTGATTAAAGGTTTACAAAGTAAATCTTTTATTTTAATAATGGTGAATTCAGTTCCCCAAACTACAAGAAGTAATGTTTGTTTTGTTTACAAAAGAACATAGTACTCCCTCACCAGGCTTTTACAGTCACCAAATTAGAATCAGGTGTTAATTAGGACCTGTGATTGGTAACCTTGATTTATTGAGAGCACTTGCTTTGGTCTGACTTTTAAATATGTCTGCTCTGAAACCTGGTT